GCCCCCCGCGGCGGAGCGGGAAGGGGGGGATGGCAGAAGGGGGGTATGGCGGGACCCCGCCCCCCCGGCTACGGACCTTGCGGGAGGAGAGGGGGCTGCCCGGGCAGCCGGTGCGCCGGGGAGAACGCCTTGCCCTCCATCTTCTTTGTCCCACCCCGCCCTTCTTGGCGCCACCGGAGCAGAAAGCTGTTGGGGCGGGGGGAAGCAAATTGCCGGGGGAGACTAGCAAGGTTCGAAGGCAGTCCCGGGCCTTCTCAGTGCCTTCTCCCGCACCTCCTCGTCTGGAAAACGCGGCCCAGACCTCCCGTGGTCACTGACCTGGAACTCCGGCGGCAGGGAAGGCCGGGGCCGGGGTACGCACGCAGGCGTCCTCACCACTCACTCTGGCCCTTTCTTACTATGCCAGGGTTGCCAACTCCGCGTTCAACGTTTCAGTCACGCTTGGAGTCTTGAAATTTCTCAGTCCCTGAACTCCATAAGCCGGTACTTCAAGGAAAGAAACGCATTAAATGGCATAAACATTTCCTGGTTATTTACAGTGCGCTTCCAGTGCACTGAAGAGAGATGGGATTCGTGGCCAGAGTGTGGGACACCCGCTCAAAATACCTCTGTGACACCAGTTCTCATAAATAGCACAAATCCAGTTCTGCTTGAAGGTTATAACAGACAATTAATGTCCAACAAAGACTTACCTTCTTCCCTCAATCCTGGGTGAATTTCCCGTCACACAAGCAAATGGCCAGCTCCTCCTATCACAAAATGTCAGCATCTTTACAGACCCAAACAGTTCCGTGAAACACACCCTGCTCAGCCCATAAGAAATTAAAGCCTTCAGCATATTACTCTAGTAAATCATTATAAAGGCAACATCTGTTCAAACAGATGACTACCAGGACCTTTTATGTAATACAGGAGGCTATAAGTAAAAAAGTTTTTCCTGGGTATAGGTAGGGCATCAGGCAACATTTAAGTAGCTCATATGCCAATCAGTTAATATCCAATGAGTAGCAAATGACAAAGTGGCTCATGGCAGTAGCAGAATTATTAATTTGTTAGCCTGTAGGGCTTTGTTTTGATTTAATGATGAGAATAGACAATGTTAAACGAGTTATCCTGCCCCTCTCTGATCTGTACTGGAAGAAGTTTTGAAACCTCAGCATATTTTTGCTCAGAACATGGAAGAAACCATCTACATCAGATTTCTAAATTTAGACAGCGCAACTGTTCCTTTTTTCTCTTTCATGCTAGCTTTCTTCTCAACTTTATATCCAAATAGTTTCTTGCCTTTGCTTGCCAAGTAAGAGTATCTTGAGCTATCGCGGAGGAAGCAAACACTGCCAAAGGGTCGGAGCGAGAGCATCGAGGCCCTTGGGCAGCTGATCTGAGGTGTGCCAAGTCCAGCTACCATTTCACGACCCTGCCCTGGCAGCAGCAGCATGATTACGGAGGAAAACCACAGACATGGGTGGTTTTGGAGGAACGACCACAAACACGGGTGCAGGAAACCGTTCACCTCCAGCAGCGACTCACCTCATTTCTCTGCATTATGCTAAACGTGGTGGAACAGCACTACTGGTAGAAGAAATAGAAGCACCTTTAAGGGGATGATGTCATCAGCATGCTAATATGTCTAAAGCTGTTCTCACCTGGCCAAAGATAACTATTTAAAATACTTTT